AGAGAGAGAGAGAGAGAGAGAGAGAGAGAGAGAGAGAGAGAGAGAGAGAGAGAGAGAGAGAGAGGCATATGTGTTGGGGTGTGTGTTGCGTGTGCGTGTGCTCTGTAATGTCCGCACAACCGTGGTATAAAGCATGCTATTTTTAACTTTTTCCCCTTTTTCTTGGTGTCTCCCTCGCCTTTTTTCCGAATGTTATCCTATCAATGAGCCTGCAACGACCTAAGAAGTCGGCAACCCAGATCTTCGTGTTCCATAGTCTGCACCAGGTCCACTACCCGTACCTGATTCGGATCTTTGCGAGACTCTGCTGCGCGCTTATGTCGGATGCCTTGGTCGAATCTTCAGTGTGCAATTTTGATTTTCAACATCGCATTGAGGAGAAATATAAAGCGCTGCGTTCCCTAAATTATACTTCGGTCGTTAAGGGAACGAGTGGGGAAAATGAAAAAGGTGACTTTTAAATTCAAAAGGAAACCAGCACTCCTCCAAATGTATACATATACAAATCACAGCCACAAAGAAATCGGGATCGGGGTCTTTAAAACTGCCAGTGGCGATGGTGGTAGTTGTAGCAGCAGCAGCAGCAGCAGCAGCAGCAGAAGACTGTGGGTTGTGACTTACGGGTTATGAGTGTGGGTTGCGACTGTGGGTTTGCTGCTTTGTGCAGTTGGTGAGCAAAGACGAGTTATCGGCATTAGCAATTGTGCTAAGGTATGACGCCATATGACATACATAAGACATATAGCGAACCGAATCAATCATCATTCATGATTGATTCCGTTATGCTCAATGATGATTGTTGTTGGTGGATAATCACAGAATCATGATGGATATTCTACTACCATCAAAGAATGCGAATGATGCAAAGGCAACCAACAACAACATGCTGACAACTTTCCGAACAAGTCCTTCATGTCGATGGCTGTTTCTGGAATGCTATCACATTTCTGTCAAGGAATTATTATCATTTACGCACCGAGTTACTTTTTGTTGTCGAAACTCGGTGCGTAAATGATAACAATTTATTCTTTTGTGTCGATGATTCAACTGTATTGTCCTTAGACAGTGACACAGGGAAGCGCATGGGGACCGGTCATGAGACAGTCCTCACAGTTTTCGACCCTGGCATCACCTCATTCCCGATTGTTGGTTGGGCATGCAACACAGAGCAGGCGCATGGTGGCCTTTTCCTTTTTTTCTATTTTTTTTTCCTTTTTTTTTTTAATTTTTTTTTTCAATTTTTCATTTTTTAAATTTATTATTATTATTATTTTTTTCATTGTGGCCTTTTCTGTATCTCTGTTTTTGCCACTTGCTATCATGGAGGTGAGAGTGGTGAGAGTTCTGCGGCACAGGCGAGGGGATAAGTCAAGCAGGGGGTGGGGGAAATGGAGTCAATATGGGGGATGGAGGGGAGCCTCTCCCCTCTTGTTGAATGGGGTACATACGATGCAACATTTGCCTCAGGGGGGGCCGAAAAGGGGGGTAGAGAAAATGACCAAAGAGGGCAAGGGCTGGGGGACTAGGAGGTGGGCAGCGGGCGGCTGTGAGAGTTCTGCGTCATAGGCAAGGAGATAAGTTCAGTAGTGGACGGAAGAGGAGTCGTCGACATGGGGATGGAGGGGATCCTCTCCCCTCGTGTCTGATGGGGTGTATACTATATGTAACATCTGCCTCAGGGCAGAAAAAGGGGGGTAGGAAGTTGATCGAAAGGGGCATGGGAGATAGGGGGGGTGGGCAGCACCTGTGAGGAGGAGTGACTTTTGTGAAGACCCTGGACGTTCGGGCTACAGCGGTTGTGGGGATCAAAGCTGAGGTCCTCGGAACCTCCGAATGCGAAACTTGTTATTATTATTATTATTTTTTTAACGGGTAAGCCCCGAACGTCATTGTATCCGTCTGATCTCATCAGGATTTGATTGAACCTATGATTTGTTTATTAGCAGTGACATGTATGTACAATTGAGCACCATGGGCTGGGTACTGAATGCAAAAGATGGTGGGTTTTGTGTTGGTAATTTGGTGGTGTGGTGGGGGGAGAGTCAGTGCAATTTGGTGCCGTGATGGGGGATTGATGCAGAACGCACCCGAAGTGGTGCGGGGGGGGAATGGAATCAATTGCAGACTCTACCGTCTTCACCCGAATAGAACGCCCGGTCATTATAGCTGTATTTGGCACAACTTTCGGTCCAGATGCAGTGATAATGACCGGGCGTTCTATTTGGGTGAAGAAGGTAGGCAGAACGCAGCAGAAGTTAAACTAACGTGTTCGATGATCCTTTTTTGTTTCGGGATTTTTTCTTGGTTTTCACAATCCTTTTTCTTTTTCTATTTCAAACTTCTTGCTCATTTTGTTTTGTCGTGTTCGCAGGAAGCAATTGGCTAGTCAGAAGAGAATGCCCTTCCCACTGACATCACAGTTCGCATCAGGAGTCAGGTGAGAGAGAGAGTCTTATCTTCCACTCAGTGAATGAATACTGATACAAAAACAGTCAGTATTCATTCACTGAGTCTAAATGCTGTTTTTGTACCTTTTTGATACTTTTATCATTTATTTATTTATATTTATTTTTTAATGAGGCAAAGCTTGATGCAGCTTCGTAAGTTGTTCACAAGTGAGTGAGTGAGTGAGTGAAGCACGAGTGACCGAAGTAAAAGTCAAAATCGATCATGACTACCGACCCCCTTAAATTGGTCCTTTTAGCCCCCTTAAAATTTGAATTTGTTCTCAACTCCATGCTGTGTTCTGTGAGCTCTAGCGTCCTCACCCGAATAGAACGCCCAGTCATTATCGCTGCATCTGGACCTAAAGTTGTGCCAAATACAGCTATAATGACCGGGCGTTCAATTCGGGTGAAGACGGTAGCCATGCTTTTCGTTTGAAGTGTGAGCAAATTTCAGACAGCAGCTACAGTTTCTCAGAACTCGTCCCCCTTGACCCCCTTAAACCACCACACCCTTTTACAACTCCCCTGGGTGCTGCCCCCCTTGATCCCCCCAAAACCACCATGTAACCCCCCGTCTGGTTATCAACCCCCTTGGCCCCCTTAAACTACCACAACCTTTTGCAACCCCCTTGGTGATAACCCCCCTTGACCCGTTAAAACCACACAAACTTTTACGACCCCCTTGGTTATCGTCCCCCTTGAACCCCTTAAACCAACACAACATTTTACACCCCCCACCTGGTTACCACCCCCCCTTGACCCCCTTAAACCTCCACAACCTTTTACACCCTCCCCCCCCCTTCTCCCGCCGCCCCCCCCGTTTGACCCCCTTAAACCACCGCAACCACCTTTCACAACCCCTTTTGGTTATCATCGCCGTTGACCCCCTTAAACCACCCCAAGCTTTCAGAGCGAGGCAGTGAGGCAGTCCCTGCAAATCACATGCTCAGCGGACACTTCGATATTGTGTGTATTGTACGGCTTGTGGTGGTGATTGTGTGTCCGAGGGATGTTGGGAAAGGGAAATCCATTCCGTGTGTCGCTGCTGGGACCCTTGTTTGGTTTCAAATGCTTCCCCCCCCGACAACTGCTGTCCATTTATCTGTGTGTTCGACTTTGTTGGCATTTATTATCTGCTCGTGAAAAGTGATCATAATATCATTTGGTACTCCCAGTGCCATTTTGACATGTTTCGATTATTTCAAACAAGAAACTTTGAATGCTTTTGAATCTATGGTGTTAATTTTACTCTCTACTTGTAAAGCAATGATAGGATTATTTATGATGATACCTTTAACTGACCTCTTTCTTTTTTTTTGGCGCTTCATGACTGCAGTTATTTGGTCACATCACCTGGTTCCACAGCAAGTAGAGGGGCAGAAGAACAGTTGGCAGGCTTGAGTGCGTCGGCATCAGAAGCAAGCGGAGATAACCGACAACAGGAGGCTCAGCATGCGAACAGGACTGACGATATCCAGCACCTAGCGCAGAAAGTGTTCAGTCAGTAATTCTCTGCTGCTCCCATGCTTCAGTTGTGTTCAGTTCAATAATTCTCTGTCGTTGACTGGGCCTCGCCACACGGCACAATTAATGCAACGAGTGCATCTGCTTACAGAAGGTGGCAAGTACATTTGTTACTATTCACCGTAAGGAGATGAATCTGCCTGGTTTCTGTGGGAAGATGCACTCGTTGTTGTTGGCCGGCAGTATGGGACAGGGCTGCAAATATTTTTCTCTGCCGTGAGTTGTTCGAGAATGCGAAAATAGCGAGTAGATGGAGCGTGGACTCGAAAAAAATTAGTTCTTTGAGAATCTGACAAATCTCGACCTACTCTCGATTTTCGCTATTGAATCGAGACTGGTGCAGCAAGATCCAATAGCAATTAATAGATAGTACATACTCAAGTATACACATATGCAGAATCATGTTTGACAAGTGTGGCTCCTAGTCTACCAAGAAAGGGCATGATTGCAAAGTATAAGGGTAAAAAAGTCCAAAAAAAAAACTCTACCTAGTAATTGCCCTGCAGTCCAGTAAGTGAATAGTTACGAAGTATAAGGGGGGAAGAAACTAAGCTTTACAAAGTATAAGGGGGGAATGAAACTATAAGCCGTACAAAGTATAAAGGGGGGACAGAAACTAAGCTGCAGTTCAGTTCAGTTCAGTTTGTAAGGGCGTAGTCAGTGTTGCACCCCCCGAGGGTCGACGGCCCTTGACTGGACGGCTGCCGACCCGCCGACCGATCGGCTGGTCGGTACCTAGCGGTCGGGGTTCGTCGGCACCCCGCAAAAAAATAAATAAATACTTCTCTCTCTCTGCCTACGGTTTACCGGGCAGTTCTGTTTGTGACGATATATATAATATATATATATCGTCAGCCTCCTGATGAGTCGGTGAAACTCCGACGAAACAGTTTGCTACAGCCCCTCGTTTGTTGTCCTCTTCTCCCTCTCTGCCTACGGTTTACTGGGCAGCTCTGTTTGACTATATATATATATATATTGTGACGATATATATGATATATATATATTTTTTGTGGGGTCCAGAACCCCTAATAACACCACCAACATCCCCATAGCGGCCCCTAATAACCCCCTTCACAACCCCCCTCCCCACACCCCCAACCCTCCCCCCACCCCCTACTGCTTCCCTTATCTCCCCCCTGCACCCCCCCTATTTCCCCCCCCCCCCCCCCAATACCCCCCATATCCCCCCTATACCCCCCCTATACTCCAACCCCAACCCCCCCATTCCCCCCCCCATCCCCAAAAGTTTCTCAGCGGATTTGGGCTGTACTCAGCAAGCGCAGTACAGCCCCCAACTCAGATTTGAAAAACAATCAGTGGATGGTTGTTTTCTGACTGGTCGGCAGACCGCCGACCGATCGGCCCTACTGGTCAGCTGCAATACGGTCGGCGGTCGGGGTCGGCGGTCGGCAGGGATGCAACTCTGGGCGTAGTTACGAAGTATAAGGAGGGAAAGAAACTAAGTTGTACGAAGTACAAGGGGGGAAAGACACTAAGCTGTGCAAAGGATAAGGGGGGGAAGAAACTAAGCTGTGGTTCAGTTCAGCAAGTAAGGGCGTAGTTAGGAAGTATAAGGGGGGTGAAAAATAAGCTGTACAAAGCACAAGGTGGGGAAAGAAACTAAGCTGCAGTTCATTAAGTAATGGCGTAGTTGAGAAGTATAAGAAGGGGGGAAAAACTACTGCAGTTCAGTAAGTACTAGCGGTAGTTGCGAAGTATAAGAGGGGAAAGAACCTTTTAGTTATTCCCTGCTGTTTTATATGAATACACAATCATTTTCGTCGAAAGTTATTGCTCCTAGGGCAGCAGGAAAGGGTGCAATTGCGCTGCTGTTCAGTAAGTAAGGGCGTAATTGTGAAGTTGCGAGTAAGGGTAAAAAACTATGTAACTCCCTGGCTCTTCAAAAAGTTTCTCTGCGTAAGGCATAATTACGGAGGAAGAACGTTTCGAAGAAGTTGGAAAAAGTAATGATTAATTCCCTGCTGTTCAGTAAGTAATTCTCTGCCCCGAGATCGACTTTTATGATGTAGAACTCTCCTGTTCCCCCCTTCACACACAAAAAATATCCTTGTGCTTTCTCCTTCTTGTCAATTCCTCCTAATCCCTTCCATATTTGAACTAAGCATCTTCCTTTGTTCTATTGTGTCCATATTTTTTCTCTCTCTCTCCCCCTGGGTGGTGGGCCATGCCACGCTCCGTGCAATATGAAGCCAATGCCGAAGGTGTTGAGCAGGCAATTCCTACTAGTATGGCCCCTCCATAGCTCCACAAAGTTATTGTAATATCATTTGGTCCGATGGACCCGATGCATCCAATCGACCGCGGACCAGATCTCGGACTGATTAGAACAGATAGTGGACTTCACGTCATTTCAAAAACATCCTTTTCTTGTCCTCACAGAATCTGGACTTGATCTTAGCCAACATGCAGAGAAAGGTATGCTCACTTCCGGTACGCTCCTTTTCCAACTGATGGCTGGCCCTTCACATAACAGCCAGCAGAATACCTGCTGAACGCCTGCAATACTTCAAAGTCGAAATTTGCAGGTGCTCTGCTGTCTGTTCTGTTTTGCGTGTGTTTTTTTTTTTTTTTTCTTTTTTTTTCTTTTTTGTGAAAGAGTGTAGCCCCTAGCATCATTGTATCCATCTGATTCCGTCGGGATATGAATTCATGATCCGTTCAGGAATAGTTGAGGTGTGGGTACCATTCAGCCACACAGGCTGGGTATTGGTGAGTTTGTCATATTCGTTTCTCCTGTTTGGGGAAATTTCGTGTATGACCCTCGGAGGCTCACTCATCTGCTGTATCCCGTGGTTTTCTGTGCTTTCTCTGCCTGCTTGTTTGTGGGCCTTCTTTTGTTTTTGGGATGGTGCTGTTACGGACTGCCTGGAGAAAAGGGAGAGGGGGGTGGTGGTGTGCATGCAATTCTTATTGTCTTTGCCCTTGAGGTGTGCGCTGGGATGCGCGGGAAAGTGTAGCTGTTTGTCACCTGCGTGTGACTGTTGCACATATTCATGCAAGTACTTGGTTTTAGCCATTTGCATCCGCGTTTGTCCAAGTTCGCTGTCGTAAGAAGTACGTTCGTGCATGCATAGGGATTTGTTTGTGTATTTGTCTATCCCTATCTGTATTTGGATAGGGATGGGGACATGTTCGTGCACTCACTTGTGCATGCATTGGGAGCTTGGTTTCACTGGGTATGCTGCAATAGCTGGGAAATATAAAGTCTGGTATGCATGCACATGTATGTCTGCATGTGCATGTGTGTGTTGTGTGTGTGTGTGTGTGTGTGTGTGTGTGTGTGTGTGTGTGTGTGTGTGTGTGTGTGTGTGTGTGTGTGTGTTCATATCCGCAATACACTAAAAAAGAGCATGACTGTGCCAGACTGTTTCGTCGTGTGTGTGTGTGTGTGTGTGTGTGTGTGTGTGTGTGTGTGTGTGTGTGTGTGTGTGTGAATGTCTTTACCGTAAGGCATCTAATAGTTGCATATATTTTTTGGATTACGTGATACGTATTGACATGTACGAGCTGTGAACTGAGTGCAGTGTATACACTGATGCATCCATGCTTACACATTTCTTCTAGCTGCACAAAAACATGTCACACGCCCATGCATAATGGATGCGCAAAAGGGCTCTCTTGTGTACTTGTACTTGTGGGCTACCAGTGTGTGTGTTTGTGAAGTTGCCTGCAATCTGTCTGTCCGCATGGCGAAAGGGTGATCCCAATGTCATGTTGCAGGCGTTCGAAAAGTACCATCCGCCTTGCGAGGCATCTCATGTCCCATCGGAAGAGGCAGGTTTTTCTGGAGATGATCATCAGCAATGCCATTTGAAGAGTTCAACCAAGGGGGAGGAACAACAGATAAGACCGGAGTTGGAGCCAGAGAACAAAACCAACATCAGTGAGGATGGAGGAGACGCTGGATCTACATCCCCGAGGGGAGTGGAGGCATGTCATCAACTTGCCGAAGAGGAGGATGATGGTATTGTTTGCTTCTTATTGCAATCAACCTGTCATTAGCTGTGTTGTTGTACACTTCGGTACCGGGAAAGCGAGATTTGCTAAATCACCTCACCTCATCGATTAGTCAACCAGTAAGTCAATTATCTTGTCTGAAGTCAGTACTCCAAATCAATCATTCAATTAATCAATCAATCAATCAATCAATCAATCAATCAATCAATCAATCAAATCTGTCCGTCCATCTGTCGATTCATACATCCGGCTGTTCCCCTGGCTGCCTGCACCCACCAGCCGCCTGCCTGTGCCCATCGCTCCCCTGCTGGACCGTCCGCCCACTCGCCTATTCGCTTGTCCACCCCCTCCTGCCCATGCACCCACCTGCCTGTCCGTCCATCTGTTTGTGCATCTGTCAGTCAGTTAGTCAAAATCAGTCAGTTTGTCCATTTGTTCACCCACCCTCCCAGCTGCCTGCTTGCCCGCCCGCCCGTCCACCTGCCCGTCATGGCCGTCTGTCTGTCCCTCCGTCCGTCCGTCCGTCCGTCCGTCCATCCTCCCATTCAGTCAGTTACCGACTTCCCCAAAATATAGCGTACGGTCATTATGCCTGTTTTCGGGGCAACTTTCGGTCTAGGTACAGCGATATGCAATTACCCTGGTTCAAAACTTCAAACCCAGCACAGAAACACGCACCTGCAGTCTTGATTCAAGGCTAGGCATGAGAAATAGGTCTGTCTGTAGGGCCCCACAGTATATCAGCATGGCAAAAAAAAAAGAAAAAGGAAAAAAGAAAGTATGTCAGCATGGCCGTTAGTATGCCTCTCAGTCAATTACCCACCCGGGTTCAAACCCAGCACAGAATATGGTCTAAGTCGGTCTCTCAGTCAAAAGACCTTTAGTATGCAGAGAGTTGACTCAAACTGGAGTTGACTCGAACCACTGGTCATGTATGGGCTTTGATGCCTTAGCTTCTGACGCCGGGCTCATTACAGATGTGATGGCCGTATGTTCCATTCGTGAGAAGACGTAGTCAGTCAGTCGGTAAGTCAGCTTGGATCTCTCATTTGCATCTTTACCATTCCCATCCCTCATGTCTGCACTTAACACGTTGGTTGTCTTTGTGTGGGTGGCCCGTCAAACATTTTGCAGACCATCATTTGTGCTTTCTCTATCCCGTCTGATTCATTGGTTGTGCTTACTGGATGGATGACCTGTCAGATAAATGTAGACCGCGTTGTTTTGAACTCACGATCTGTGTCATGAACTCTTCCTGCAGATGGTTTCGAGTTCGAACCCATGGAAGATGCCATATTGCCACAATTCTCTGGGCGTACACAAGGAGCTGTTTCGAGATCAACCCCAGAGAGAGAGAGTCGGCACCCAGAAGGGTTTGAAATGCCAGGGAGCAGCATGACATTGGAAGGAGCTGCATTCAGACTTGCAGATCTGTCAAGCTATGTGCGATATGATGTGAGAATCAATCATCTTCCCCTTTAACATTGGTGGTCTAATTGGTGGGTCTAATTGGTGGCTGGGCTACCAGCAGGTCCACCGAGGTTGCCTCAGACGGACCCGGGTCGGGCCTGACTGGGTCAGGTCCGCAAAGCCACGGTCAAGGTCCCACACAGTCCCCACGCACAAAAAAAGAAAAAAAAGAAAAAAAAGAAAAAAAAGAAAAAAAAGAAAAAAAGAAAAAAAACTTTAAAAAAGAAAAAAAAGAAAAAAAAAGAAAACACTGAATGCTGAGGGCTGCTTTAAAATTCGTTATGAAATTTGGAAGTGAAACAAAACAATGAAAACATTAATTGTTTTGAAATTATATCACACTGATTCACACACCGTTAAGCCCCAATAAGCCCCTGCGAACCCCGCATATAACCCATAGACACCCTTTGGGGAGACGTTACCAAATTCAAAGATAAGGTCCGATTTGGGCACATCTGAGTGGACACAAAATTGCCCCGCTGCAAAAAAAAGGGAAAAAAGAAGACCCCCCTTTTGCTGTCATCCGGGGTACCCCAGGTGGGTTTACTCCCAGGCAGGTTTGCCCAGACGGCTGGGACTGGCCAACCCTGGTAGCCTAATTCTCTAGGAAATTTGTACTGTATTTCCATTTTGGGTGTTGCCAGTGGGCCGTTATGGGACACACGGATGTGGGCAGCTTGTGCAAAACTACACAAACGTGGCAACCCTTTGTATGTGAGAGGCACAGTAAAGGGGGAGCTAAAATAAGAATAACAAGTGGATCCGCCGCAGCAAAGCTGCGGCACAGAGGAGGGGGCGGAGATGAAGAAGGGAGGGAGTGAGAGCGAGGAGATGTTCAGAGAGTGTATTGCATTCGACCAGGACGAAAAGCCGATAATGATGAATTGAATAAGAGAGAGATCACATTGATCTCTCTTATTGAATTCATTCAGAGTCACAAAGCAAAAAAAAAAAACAGAAAAAAGAAGAAAAGAAGGGGGGGATAGCGATGCAGGGCGGGTGCGGGAGCAGACGGTGGGGGAGCCGGGGTGGTTGCGCGATCAGGACAGAGTCGGGGGGAAGTGGAGCGTGGCGGAGCGGAGTAGGGTGAAAGCGGGCTGTAAGGATGTCGGGATCGGAGTGGGGGGTCGCGCGCACGTGCACGCGGGATCTGCCGGAGTAGCGGGGG